GAGGAGGAGGAAGAAGAAGAAGAAGAAGAAGAAGAAGAAGAAGAAGAAGAAGAAGAAGAAGATTATACAGCCAAAAAACAAAACAAAACAAAAAAAAAAAACCAAAAACCAAAAAACAAAAACAAGTTTGGAATATAGGGCTGAAGGTGAGACCCACCCCAGGGTCTCAAAGTCCGTGGCTATAGAGTGAGGGTCAGCAAGGAGGGCCTACAGGCCCCCTCTTTTTTTTCTAAATGAAGTTACAGACCAGTCACACTTGCGGGTCAATCACTGCCTGCTTCCTGTCATGGGGCTGTGCTGAGTAGTGGCTGCAGATGGCATGCCCCCCTGACATTGTCTCTCTCTGGTCACCTGCAGAAGACATTTGCCTTGCTTGGTATAGGAGGGCCTTCCAGAGTGTTTACTTACATGCTGATGTTGAAGAATGTCATCTGGAGAGAGAAGAAAGGGTTCTCCAGGCCCATGGCATTCAAGCCAAGCCAATGCCACTGGTTTCCTGATGGCTCTTCTCTTCTGTCTCCTCTCGTTTCAGCCATTGCACTCCTGAAGGATCAGGAGCCAGGGGCCTTCATCATCCGTGACAGCCACTCCTTCCGAGGGGCCTATGGGCTGGCCATGAAGGTGTCCTCACCTCCTCCGACCATCACTCAGCAGGGCAAGAAAGGTAGTGTCTTCTCCCTGCCGTGCTGGGGTTTCTTGCTTTCTTTGGACCTTTGGGTACTGAACAGGGTCCTAACTCATCAGGGATGGTCCCTGAGAAGCTGGAGGAGAGTGAGTGGAGGTTTGGGGACAGCAGACTGTTGGAACTTGGTGTGTGTGGAGGGATGGAAGAGGAGGGTAGCAGGCTTTCTTTTGGGCCAACAACCAGCTCCTAAATAAAGACACAGAGACTTACTGTTAGTTATGAATGCTCAGCCTTAGCTTCTGCCAGTCCCACTAGCTCTTATAACTTAATCCCACCTGTTTCTCTCCATCTACGTTTTGCCTTGGGGCTTTTTACCTTTCTTTTCTTCTGTATGTCTTACCCGATGTCTGTCTGGCTGCCCCCAGGCATCTCTTTCTCTTTCTCCCTAGTTCTCTCTTCTTTATTTTCCTCTTCTCTCCCTTCTTGAGCCTAGATTCCTCCTATTTATTCTCTTTGTGTGCCAGCCCTACCTATCCCTCTACTGCCTAGCTATTGGCCATTCAGCTTTTTATTAGTCCAACTAGGTGCCTTAGGCAGGCAAGGTAAAACAGCAACATATCTTTACATAATTAAACAAATACAGCATAAACAGATGTAACACATCTTTACATAGCTAAACAAATGCAGCAGAAACAAATGTAACACATCTTTACATAGCCAAACAAATGCAGCATAAACAGTTGTAATACATCTTTACATAGCTAAAGCAATATTCCACAACAGAGGAGTGAATGGTGATCCTCATTCCACAGGGCTCTAGCCTCCTTGCCTCTGTAACCTTCTCTCCCATCTCATCCTATACACTGTGGAAGTTATGAGACAGAGTTGGGAGGTGGTGGGAGGGTGTCATGACAATGAGGGACCAATTCTGTTTCCTCTTTTCTGTTCCAGGAGACATGACCCATGAGCTGGTGAGGCACTTCCTAATAGAGACCGGCCCCAGAGGGGTCAAGCTCAAGGGCTGTCCCAATGAGCCAAACTTTGGTGAGCATCGTGGCTTGTCATTACGATCTCTCTCCTGGTCCTCAGAGGGTCTGACCCCAGTTCTTTCTGTCTTACTTCTGCCGGTCCTCCTGGGCATGGCTTTGGCAGAAGGAAGGAAAAGCTGCTGTTTCTATAAAGTTTTATTGAGACCTGGACACACCTCCTAGTGACACACTGTGTACTGTGGCTCCTGCTTCACACTGCCAGGTGCCTTTTTGTCTTTGTCTTGCTCGGTTGAGTCGGTACATTCAAATAACAGCGTTAAGAACGGCTGTCCTTCTTGGCCACCTGTTATGGGAAAGTCATGATCTAGGTATCATGTCATTCTGGTGTCACAGCAGTCCTGCATGGTAGCTGTCACTCCCCATTTTGCACATGAAGAATGTAAGAATGCACATGTAAGTGCCGCTTAGGTTCTCTAGATAAGCCCCAGAGCTGGGATTTTATGTCACAGTTTTCCTGCTGCGCTCTTCTGATGGGGGTTCTGTAACTGGAAGGATTTAGAAGACATAGTTGTTAAGGGAAGCAGTTAGGTCCCCTTGAAATTCTAAGGGGGGCATAGTAAGGGGGGGCAGGTTTTCAGTTCTGTTGGTGGGAGCAATGAAGAAGCTGGAGGCTGGGATATGGCTCGGGCCGCAGGTTTGAACCCTAACACTGTCAAAAAAAAGAAGACAGATATCGGGAAGGTATGGAGTCGGATGGGGTGGGGACCCTTTTCCAGTCTCCCTTAGTCACCTAGCCTGGTGCGTTGTTTCTCCCCACAGGTTCCCTGTCCGCCCTGGTCTATCAGCACTCCGTCATCCCACTGGCTCTGCCCTGCAAACTGGTCATCCCAAGCCGAGGTAGGAGAGACTCCCTGATGCTGTCTGCCCAGAATGCAGCTGGGGTGGAGGCAATACAGGGAACCCCCCCCCCCCCCCCAGCTTCTATTTTTTTTTTAAGGGAATTGTTCATTAAAAAGCTTAACTCCAAGCACCCATTAATTGCCAGATTGTTTTTGAAAATACTCTGGTGCTCTAAAAAAAATTCATACCGCCTTCTCAGAACAGGCCTTATTCTCAGAACGGGGGCAGTCACAGGAGGCTTATATCCCGGTACATGAGAGAGCTGCTAGTGTCAGTTGGCTGTTTCTGTTCATTCAGTTTGACACATTGAATTATTTATAACCATTGACCGACATTATTAGCCTAAAGGTTCCAACGCAACTTCAATAACATTAGTAACCACACGATTTAGACACTAATTCAATTATATCTGTATGGAATTTACAAAATCCTTTGATATTTAAATCATATAAACTGGTGCCTCCTGGAGCACAGTGCTTAGAGCTGCTGCAGCCATCCTGGGAACTTGCTAAAATGCAGGTATTTTCAAATTTGTCGGAAACTCTGGGTCAGAGCCAGGCCTGGGGCTGCATGCAGGAGGCTGAGCCAGGTTCACAGGTTCACGGGATCACAGGTTCAAGACCTGCTCCTGCTGCAGAGCGAGTTTATGTCACACTGGGCAACCCAGAGATCTCAGAATAAAAAGGCAAAAAGAGGAATGGAGGTGTAGCTCCATGGCAGAGCACTTCCCTCTATGTGTGAGATCCAAGGGGCAAGCTCCATTGCCAACAGAGCCAATGCAACCCGCCTGTGAACTAGGCCCGGCTGCAGTCTGTGTCCTAACATACCCATATACCAAAGTTTAGAAGCACCAATACAAACATCACTCAGTTCTTTTTCCTCTTACTTTTCCTCCTCGTCTTCTTTCTTCTGATACTGTTTTTAAAAGTTAGGTTTTTTTTTTCCCTTTTCTTTTCTTTTTGCTGTGTAGACCAGGCTGTCCTTAAACTTTGCAATTTCCTGCCTCAGCTTCTGAAGTGCTGGGATCACAGGCACACACCACATTCCTAATTTCTGACATATTTTTGAAGTTTCTTGTTAAAGTGTAATGGAAATAAAGCATGTGCTCTGTGTGGCATAGAAAGTGACATGCGTTGCTGTAGGTACATATTGTTTGCTGGTGAAATCGAGCCGCTCAGTACATCTGTCACTTGATTCTGTCTCGTCTCAGAGTGATCGCTGGTGCTGTGTTGAGCTTCAGCGAATCCAGTGGCTCGTTGGTTTGTACAAAGACACACTGGTGCAAAATGTCAGAGGTCCCTCATTGTTCCCTAAAGCCTTGCTGTTGGTCGCATGCTGAGTTTCAGAGATCAGGGACATGGGTACCACCATGGTCATCACTGTCATCAGTTCATAGACACTTAGCAGGGACTGAAGTGGGGATTCGAACCCAGCTCTGCTGGACTGTAGCACTTCCCAGTAGCGTGTGAGGGCCTTGGAATCATCTTACAGATGCAGTGCTGACTGCCAAGACCCACTGTGAAAAGAGTATCCATTGCAGGAAGCATGTGCTTGCCTTAGGCCCAGCCAGACACGTTTTTAATTACTGTAGGGTTTTAATTACTAATTGAATTTTTGTTTCAGACCCCACAGATGACTCAAAAGATAGCTCAGGCCCTGCCAACTCAACCACCGACCTGCTGAAGCAAGGAGCAGGTAAGTGTCACCTGAGATGGGACCGATGCCCAGGCCAGTCTTTCCCACCTCCTGCCGTTGTCCGCTCCTGCAGGGGCAGGTTGGAATTTTCTCCTGGATTCCATTTCTGTGTGCAGTGGGCTTGGCTCAAGGTGTGCCTGAAATTCGTCTGCACCTGCCTCTGCACGGTGGAGCGGAGGGATTGTCTGCTACCTATTCTAGCCCCCGTGACTCCCCTTTGGCTCCGTGTCTTCCAGCTTGCAATGTGCTCTTCGTCAATTCTGTGGATATGGAGTCACTCACCGGGCCACAGGCCATTTCTAAAGCCACATCTGAGACTTTGGCTGCTGACCCCACGCCGGCTGCCACCATTGTTCACTTCAAGGTCTCTGCCCAAGGAATCACACTGACCGACAATCAGAGAAAGTAAGCCTATCTGCCTACTTCTTCCTCCAACCCTCCCATTTATCCACTTTCTCATACTCTGATCATCCCTGTACCCATTGTTTGCCTATGTACCTATGTATCCATTCTGTATCCATCCACCCATCCACCCATCCACTCATCCACCCATCCATCCATCCACCCACCCACCCACCCACTTATCCATCCATCCACCCATCCACCCCCCCATCCATCCATCCACCCACCCACCTATCCATCCATCCATCCATCCATCCATCCATCCATCCATCCATCCATCCATCCATCCACCCATCCACCCCCCCATCCATCCATCCACCCACCCACCTATCCACCCATCCATCCATCCATCCATCCATCCATCCATCCATCCACCCACCCATCCACTAACCCATCCACCTATCCATCTATCCACCCATCCACCTATACATCTACCTAACTACCCACTTATCCACCCATCCATCCACCCACCCATCCACCCACCCATCCACTAACCCATCCACCTATCCATCTACCCACTCATCCACCTATCCATCCATCCATCCATCCATCCATCCATCCATCCATCCACCCACCCACCTACCCATCCACCCATCCATTCATCCATTCATCCATCTACCCATCCACCCATTCATTAATCCATTCATCCATCCACCCATCTACCCATCCATCCACCCATCCACCCATTCACCTACCCATCCATCCATCCATCCATCCACCCACCCACCCATCCACCCATCCACCCATCCATCTACCCATCCATCCATCCATCCATCCATCCATCCATCCATCCATCCATCCATCCTCCACCTTCCCACTTGCTCGTCCATCCCCCTACTCACCTACCCAACCAACCATCCATATATCCATCCGTCCATCCACCTACCCACCTATCCATTTATCCATCCATCCATCTATCCATCCATCCATCCATCCATTCATCCTCCACCTACTCACTTGCTCATCCATCCACCTACCCACCTATCATCCATCCATCCAACTACCCACTCATCAACACATTCACCCATCCACCAACTTATTCACTCTTGTATCCATCCCTGTGTGCATCTGTTCACTTACCAAACCATCCACACATGTGTGCATGCATATCTGCATCTCTCTATCCAACATCCATCCACTCACCTCTCCACACTTCTAAAGGAGGGGCCTGCTTTGAATATATAGAATACAGCTGAAGAAAAGCCCTTGATTTTAAGAGTAGAGGCTTTCACACTGTGATCTCTGTGTTCTCAGCCCATTTCCTCTCTCTTCCAGAGCTCCCCATTTATCATTTTTCAATACCAGTTCCCTCCCCAGCCCCAGGATGTGGGGCCTGTGGGGCATGTTTCTATGTCACATCCTTCTGTCCCTGTGTGGGGCTTAAGTCCTGGTATGAGGATCTCTGGCCATCGTATTCATAAGGAGAGGCTATATGAACCCATGATAGATGGGCACAGTGATAGGAAGGTGGCCTGCCCTGCAGGTGGTGACAGATATGGACAAGCAGTGACTCCCGCACTCACTCTGGACCCTCTGATATCTTTGCCACAGGCTCTTCTTTAGACGACACTACCCCCTCAATACTGTCACCTTCTGTGACCTGGATCCACAAGAAAGAAAGTAAGTGTCTTTTAGGCGCCTTCGAGCTGTCCCCTGAAGTATGTGTGTGTTGTGTGCCTGTGTACTCTGGCCTCGGCCACAGCTTCGTTGTGTCCTGAGCAGTGAGAGCGATTATGCTGGCAGCCACCTGAGTCTCCTCCCCAGACCTGCTGACTTTCCATGACTTCACTGTTGACCTCTGCACGCTCTGCTGTGTCTCCTCTCTACATGGGAGGTGGGCCACAGTGTCCTCTCCGTGTGGATTATCCTCTGTGTGATCTTGGGGATGTGTTTCCTCGAATGGAGGCTCCTTTGCCCTCTCCTGGCTCCTGAGAGAGACATGTTACTTTACCGTGGGCATTTTTTCCACAGGTGGATGAAGACAGAGGGAGGCGCCCCTGCTAAGTAAGTGTGGCTTTCCTTACACCCAGCTGGTTGACCTTTGCACTCTGTGGGAGAAATCAGGGACAGGGACCAGCTCTAGGCCAGGGGTCTGATGAGGGCCTGCATGCCAAGGTCTCTGAGATTAGGAGAAAGAGACTATAGCCTACATCTTTTTTTTTTTTTTTTTTTTTTTTTTTTTTTTTTTTTTGCTTTTTCGAGACAGGGTTTCTCTGTGTAGCTTTGCACCTTTCCTGAAACTCACTTGGTAGCCCAGGCTGGCCTCGAACTCACAGAGATCCACCTACTTCTGCCTCCCGAGTGCTGGGATTAAAGGCGTGCACCACCACCGCCCGGCCTATAGCCTACATCTTGATGCTAACAGAGACATATGTCTAGGCATGGAGTTGGAAGGATTTGTGGAAAGAAAGAATACTTGAAAATGGCCTTAAGTGACAGGTGCATTTTGGGTAGATAGGAATGGGTTTAGGGATAAGAGAGACTACTTCAGAGAAAGGGGTTGTATGACTCTCAGACTGCAGGTTCCTGAGGACAGGGTGGGTCTGTCAGCTGCAGACAGTTGTCGAGTGAAATGAAGAAATGGAGGCCAGGGGTGCCTGGAGTGGGCCAAAGAGAGAGCACCTTGCTTGGGAATGGGGAGGACTAGCTAGAAATCTAGCTAGGGGGCTCCAGAGGGGCTGTGTAGGAGGGAGGACGCCTCAGCCTTCTGTAGCCTTCATAGGATCAAAAGGGACCTCACGTTCTTATGCCTCCCTATGTCGCCGAATCTCTTCATGCTACTGACAGACAGACAGGCAGGCCAGAGTGGGTCGGATGGCAGTGTTCAGAGCAGGCGCAATTGGCTGGGGCGCTGTCTTAGCAGACACAGGTAGATAGGCTTATGTGCTTCTTTTCTGGGCACTCGGAGATGCCCTTTACCCTGCCTGGGTCACACATACCATTGCCACCGTCACCGTCTGGAAAGGCGAGTGCCCTGACTTCAGGTCCTACAACAGAGTGGAGAGAGGAAAACTGTTTGAAGCACAGGTGTGTGTGTGTGTGTGTGTGTGTGTGTGTGTGTGTGTGTGTGTGTGTTTCCTCATCGTGTGCATGTGTGTGCCATGTGAATATGTGTTTACTGGGTGTCTCTGTGCGTAGGTGTGAATAGAGCGTGTTTGTGTATGCGTGCGCAGACACACACAGGCAGGCAGAAGCCAGCCTGGCTAATTTTAGCTGTGGGTGCCATGCACACCCAGCTGAGGGGTTTCCATTGGCATTTCCAGCTGTCCTGATTTCCCCATCTCACTCTAATTAGCAACATGCCGGCTGGGAGGGGCCCTGAGCTCACATTCTGTTCTCTGCTCACATATTTTTAACTCTGTTTTGCAGAGAGAGAGAGAGAGAGAGAATGCTGGGTCACTCCCATTAGTTGGAGGGGGCAGGGGACAGGTGTGGGGTTCCTTACCTCTCCTATTTTCAGGGCTTCCCAGCTTCCAGAGCTAGGAGTGTGTGTGTGTGTGTGTGGTTGGAGGGGGCAGGGGACAGGTGTGGGGTTCCTTACCTCTCCTATTTTCAGGGCTTCCCAGCTTCCAGAGCTAGGAGTGTGTGTGTGTGTGTGTGTGTGTGTGTGTGTGTGTGTGTGTGTGTGTGTGTGTGACAGAGACAGAGAGACAGAGAGAGAGAGAGAGACAGACAGAGACAGACAGAGACACAGAAAGACAGAGAGAGTGTATGTGTGAGAGAGAGAGAGGGAGGGAGAGAGAGAGAAAGAGGAAGGGAGAGAGGTAATGTAGGGGAGGGAGATGGGCACCTGCTTGTGTCTCTCCGACCACCTAGGAGGCATATCCTGTAGGAAGCTTCAGATTGGGGTGGGGCTGAGAAAGAACCCAGAGAAGCTTGGCTCACACTCTTCCTCCCGTCTGGTCTCCTCGCTCCCTTTCCAACCAGTCTTGTCACTCATCCCCAGCTCATCCCCCCCCTCACCCCCACCCCAGGGAAATGTCACCTGCCCTGAAACAAAGCAAAGCACTGTCCCCGGGACTTGGCTTTAAGAGCTAGCCCAGTTCTAGATGCTTGGAGAGGTGTGGGGGCTGGGGAAGCCAGGCTGGCCTGAGGCATGCTTTCCTGCCTGGGTTGCCCTCCAGAGCCTGGGCTCCTTACAATGAATGGCACCCTCTCCCTACCCTCTCTAGGCTCTTCGGCTTCGTGGCCCGGAAGCCCGGCAGCACCACGGACAACGCTTGCCACCTCTTTGCGGAGCTTGACCCCAACCAGCCTGCTTCTGCCATTGTCAACTTTGTCTCCAAGGTCATGCTGAGCGCTGGCCAGAAGAGATGAAATCCTGGAGTCCTTGCCCAAGGCCCAGGGCACTGGGGATGGGGCGTGTGGGGGAGGGGATCTGCGAATCCTGACCACCTTGAATCCGGGAAGAGGACTTTGGGGTGGCTGTGGAGAAGGAGAGGAGAAAGTGGAATGCTGGGAAAGGGAAGTGAATTCACTGTGGGGGAGGGGAGAGGGAGGGAGAGAACGAAAGGGCCCAAGAGAGGAACTCTGCAATCCCCTGTACCTATGGAAGCCACACCTCCCAAAGCCTCTCCACCTAGCTGGGGGTCCTGGCTCCCCTCCCGCTCTGAGAAAATTGAGCTCCCACAGGGAACACACAGGCCTCTTTGCAGGGACCAGATTTCATGGAGCAATGAAAAAGTTTGTTCTCCCTATCCCTCCTGCCTTGAGAGCAGAAACCGAGCTGAGACTCCTTCTCTGGAGGTAAGGTTGCTAAATCCAGTGGCCAGCGTATGACATCAAGAGGTGACACTCCCTTACATTTTGCTCACCCGAGGCACCCGTGGTCTGTGCTTGCTCTGACTCCTTGTTGCAGGATGTAAATGTGACCCCACACACTCATCCATACCTGTCTCTCTCTACTCTAGCTACAAACAGCTCTGCTTGTCTGTGTCTTGTGATACACATATACACATTGACCAAAGAAGGCTAGGGGTATGGGGTGGCAGGGTACCAGGTCAGGGACAAGCTGTCTCCTGTAGGAGCATAGCAGAATTATGGGTAGCAGAATTCTCTCTCTGTTCCTACAACTGCCTTCTAGTGGCCCTGGGGGCCTCCAGCCTGTCCCCTGTAGAGACCTTGGTACAGAGGGCATAGCCAGCCTGTGGCATCAGCCTAGTTCTGTCTCCTTGAGACTGAAGCTGGGCTGGAGAGAGAGGCGGTGCCCACAGTCTTGGGAAAGATCCCTGTTAGGAAGGGTGGCATCTTTTCTGTGGCTTGTGGTAAGTTGGGCATGCGCACTGATAGCATCCAGGACTCTGCCTTATTCTCTTCTCTCGGCCCAGTTCCTGGGCCGGGAGTACCAGCTCTAGCTTGGTACACCCTCACCTGCTTGAGGCCTGCTGGGGGAAGGGAACTGTGCCTTTCTGACCTACCCCATCCTATATGGTCCTTATGTTGGCTTATCCCAGGAGCCTGCTTCCCAAAGTCCTGCCCAGGGTACCCGGGGATGCCTGGAGCCCCCTTTTCACCCTCTGTGTTTTGGGGTCTGACTGTTGCAGACACCTTTCTGGCTGGGGCTGCCCAGGGTGACTGATACCAGAGCGCCTCTGGGGTTGCTGCTGGAGAACCACATGGTCCTCCTATAATGCCAAAGCTTCCCTGTTCCCCTCTGCCTCAGTTTCCCCAGCAGAACCTTGCTGCCTGTGGGACAGAGGACGGAAGGTATGAATTTAGGCCAAAGGTCCTATATCCATTTGTGGGGTTGGGAAGGCCCCTGTCACCACTCAGACCTCCATTTAAATCCATGGGGGTCCCTCGGGTGGCATTGTACTGATATATAAATATATATAATATATACATGAGACATACTGATAGAAATCTGTAATCTAATAAAAATATAAGAAAAGGTTAAAAAAAGAATAGGTAAATTGACAAGAAATATTTATTGTTTTCCCATATTGCTTTATTGCCCCCTGGCCGCAAACTGTTTCCATTTCTTTTCTAAGGTGTAAGTAAAGTCTGAACTGCAAGGGATCTTTATATTCCAAACAGCCCAGGGCTGGCCTTGGCCTTGATCCTGGTCTTGGCCTCCCTAGGCTACATCTGGGACTTGGGGGATGACATGCTCCAGTTCTTTAGCCCCTCATTTTCTGGCAAGCAGTAGCCCAGCTGCCAGCATCCTGGGTGTGTGGACGGCTGCTTCCATCACCACAGGTCTGAGCGCGTGTTTGGGGATGCAGGTGTGTATGGCTGTGGTGTGTGCATCTCTTTTTTTTCCCTCCTCCCGGGAGCTTTGACTGTGTGGACGTTGTTTTGAGGAATTGGAAAGAAGAATGTCTAGGTTAGGCGGAGATCATGGGTAGAGAGACCCCCTTGGGGCCTCTGCTTCCCAAAGAATAAATGGGCTTAGCAGTCAAGGTCCTTCTAAAGTGTCCTTGCCTCTGAGATATTGAAGGCAAATGTCTTGATCACCCCTTTCCTCGTTCCCCAAATGAGCCCCACTCCTTCCCAAATTACAAGAAGAAATTTCTTATCCCTTTCTTTGTAAATACCCTCATCCTGCTGCACAGCCTGGAGAGCCTTCTCCTGGCTGGGATGTTCACTTGAGCCGTTAAGGAGCACCAGGGCTTCTGTAGCCTGCCTTAGGCCAGACCTGAGTCTGGGGTCAGCCTTGGTTTCACTTTCCCATGCTGCACTCAGGCCCAAGCCGTGTGTGAGTCATGGGAAGGACCGAGGTGGATGCTGGGAAGGCGGGTGCCTCCCTCCCAGCATGCCTCTAGAAGGAATGGAGACCTGAGTTTGGCTTTTCTGGAAGAATGTTGGAGAAGGGGCCTCAGTTCGTACACTGGGAACCACGCTGTAGCCTGCCCCCTTCTGCACTGTGATTCTCACAGGTGGGCCTCTGCGCATTCATGCACACACACACGCATGAGCAAACACACACCACACAACCACACACAGAGACCACATGCACTCTCACCACTCATATGCAACCTAGTCTTGCCAAAGATTTGTTTTAAAGAAGAGCACTTTTTTACCCATTTTTTTTTTGTGAGTGATCTGTTTTTGCTGTTCTACATTGTTGAGCCTGTATGTCAGCAGGGAGAGTGCTGTCCGCTCTTAAATGTGAGCGAAGGAGGAGGGGTCAGGAGGCAAGAGAACCTGGCAGCCTGTCTCACCATCCTCCAGACCCCTCAGCTACAGCCCGGGTCCATACTGCCTCTGGTGACTGTAAAGATTGCTGAGGTTGGCCTGGGGCCTCACCCTCCCTGGTATCTGGGGGTGAGATGGCAGAGAGGGACACTGAGGAGCCAGGTGTGGGGGAAAGGAAGGTCCCCATAGTCCCAGGGGATAAGGGTGAAGAGCTGGGCTAGAATACAGTGGATAGGTGGCCCCAAAGGGAAGCTTGGGAAAAATAAACAATTGGATATTGAAGTCACTGTTGTGCTACTGTGGACCCCTGGCTCCCTTGTCTAGTTATATCCGAGGAACGAATTCACGTCTTAGGTTTGGAAAGGCCATTTGGAGTCCTCTCCTCTGGCCTATCCCCAGTGGCTTAGATGGCTTTGGACATGATTGCCAGGATTTCTGGTACACCCTGGCTTTGGAGAGTCCCTGGAGAAACCTATCTGGGGGTGTAGGGAGGTCACTGTGGCTGTGTGTCCCTCTAGAAAGGGGCTTTCAGGAGAGAGAAAGACCTTGTCCTAGGCTTGAATAGAAATGAAACAGACTCCCTCTGCTGTCCGGGAAGGGCAGGAGAGACTTGTGAGTGAACAGCATCCATCCTGTTCTGGGTTTTCTTCTCCATCCTACCTAAGATTTCTGATCCCCCTTTTCCCAGCTTTAGACCTTGGGGAGATCCATCCAAGGGAACCAGCCCTCTCCTGCCTCCATGCCTTGGGTCCTTGAAGAGCTGGGACCCAAAGCTAGGGCCACCCCTACACTTAGGCCTTGGTGAAAGATCTAGAGACTGGTGTTTCCATGGTCAGTGGTGACAGGATGTTTGTGTGTGTGTGTGTAAGTGTGGGTGTGTGTGCATGGTTTGTTCTCTTTAGGGAACTTTGAGGTGGGAGATGGAGTGGTGGATGGAGGGATGTCAAGTTCAATGTGACCCAGTAGTGAGAAGAACCAGGAGGTGAGGCCCGGTGGGCCACAGATTGGTAGTATTTTAGTACTGGTAATGGAGAGGACAGCCACGTGGGATAAGGCTCAGCAGGCCTCTTCCTCGTTGTCTCCTGTCTCCTCAAACAGCTGACAAGTTGGAGGGTCCCAGCTGGTTCCCATGCCTGGGCCCCTCACAACAGCAAGGCCATCGAAGTGCGACACACCCACGACATGTCTTCTCATCAGTGTTCACAACCCAGCCCTTCCCTTGGACCCACATCTGGCTCGTTTGTGTGTGAGCGTGTTGGGGGTGTACGTGTGGTGTCTCCTCACGTTCTTTCTTCCCTTCTTTCATTCAAAACCAATGTAAGAAGTTCCGTACACCCTGGTTATCCCAACCCTGCCCCTCGGGCCCTCTGCTGGGAAACCCACGCCCAGAGTCCATCCCCGGCCCCCGCAGCCCTCTGCTGTGTATTTATAGATGGAAATATACTTTATATTTTGTATCATTGTGCCTGTAGCTTCCGCCACCTTGTATAAACCCTGTTGTAAGCTGTGTTCTGGATACGAATGTATGTACACATATGCTGTCTCCTTCTGTACAGCTGCCCTGTCTCTTACAATCCATTGTATGGCTTTATAAATGATAATGTTAAACACACACCCAGGCTGTTGATCTAGCTGTGTGTGGCCTCTGCTGGGTCTTCACTGGGCACGAGGGGTCTTCCCTGAGCACCGGAGATGAGGGTTTTCAATGATGCTTCGGGGAGCCCAAGCAGTGGTCCCCACCCGCTCCTCCTGTTCATCGTACCTGTTATTCATACGGACGCCCAGCTGAAAAAGAAGGCCAAAGAATAAAACAAGGAGTGGATTGACCGGGGTGCCTGTGGAGTACAGGCAGAGCTGGGTCCAGGAGCTCAAACGGTAAAAACGGGGATCTGTCCCCATCTTGTGGTTATCAGGCAGACTTTGTCCAGGTGTGAGGCCACTCCAGGCTTTCAACTACCAGCTTGACAGTCCCATTGAAAAGGGGGCCTTTTCCTTCCATGCTCTAAGCAAGAGCATACACAAATCCTCATTGGCTCTGAGAGAGCCTGCTTGAACTCAGAACTCAGTCCCGATCTGGGCTGCACAAATGCCTTCGGGGCCTTCTGAAACTACGGGCAGTCCGTCCTGGAGGGCTGTGGCCTCTGAGAGGAATGAGCAGGAAGCTGCCAGGCAAAGTGACGGGGTGCCACCAGCTGGGACACCTGTGGCTCACTGATGCCTAGGGGTTCCGAGGTTCTGAGCTCACTGGAATTCAGGAACTTGGGTGGTGCCACTTGGGCATATTGAGCACAGTGGGCATGGAGAGCTTCTCGGAGATCCAAAATCTTCCTGGAACTCGGCTCCCCACTCCACGGAGCGCTCTTCGGACCCGAGAAGTCTCAGTCAGATGACCTGAGCAAGCAGGGCTGCCCTGTGTGCAGCCCGCCCCGTGGTGGGGCTTTGGGGGCAGCCTTGGCACACTGTGGGTGCCAAAACTCACTGACACTCTTCAAGGTGACGGAGGACCCCACGGAGCTTTTGTATAGACTCATTATATCTTTTTTGATTTTTATACGGTAGACGTTAAAACCGAGAACGCTTCAAAAACACAGATTCACTTACATAACAATACTAAACTAACGCCTTGAGTGTGGAAGTGAATGGCATTTTCTAAAGTAAGCATTAGGCGGCATTGTTGGGCGTGGTTTAAAGCCTCTGGCCTCTGCTGTTGTCTGTGACGCCTTCTGCTGTGACAGGTCATTGGAAGAAACTGTCTCCTTGGGGGAAAAAAAAAACGAACAAAAGGACAAGTAGTGGCTTAACAGCATGGCGAAATAGTTTTGGTCTCACAGGCCCTGAAAAGGGTTTCAGGGACCCCAGGCTCCCAGACCACTCACTGAACTCCACTTATCTACAAGAGACACAGCTGGAGGGGCGGAGCCTATCTGGTGGGAACAGAGTGTGCCTGTATTCCTGTTGTCCACCAGGTGTCATGTCCCACATCCCAGGGGACACACCAGGAAACCAAAGCTCGAGAATTTACCTTGTCTTCTCAGAGCAAGAACAAATGGTCGCTGAGGCCTGGAGCCTGAACCAGCAGGCGCAGGAGCGCGTTTTCTCAGTCAAGCAGGTGTACCTGTCCTTGTGCCCATCCCACAGATGAAAAGATCGAGGTTCACAGAGGGTGAGGCACTTGTTCAAAGTCGTGACACTTGAGCAAGTGGCCTGGCTGTGGACCTTCTCTCAAGGCCCTTCCTAGCTCAAGCCCCTCTGGGAGAGACTAGCTCTGGTGAGCACTGGGCATACCTCACGTCATGCAGGTGTGACAGGTAGGTAGTCAGGCTGGCTTCCCAGGGAGGAACCGGGGCTCTTGGTCTTAGGATAGTGGGTGTCAAGAGGGCCTCCTGTGATGTCACCCAGAAGCACAGGAATGTGATGACCTCGAGTTCCTGCAGTCTGAGACGGTCTTGGGGTGCAGGAACTCTGATTTGGGGCCAGGGGATGGTCAGAGGCCAGTTTTGGAAGCTGTAGCGAGGCCACCAAGGAGAGGGCAGAGGGCAGAGTGGTGGGGCTGGGAGTAGAGGAAATCCCCCCCTACCCCCCCCCCCCCCCCCCCCCCCCCCCCCCCCCCCCGCCCCATGCCCAGTTCTCAGGTTAGCTGAAAAGTCCTGATCCTGGGCCCTACCCAGGCAGGGCTCTGTGGGTCAGTCTCAAGTGGTTATGGATAATGTGTCCTGTCTCTAGCTGGATTTATCACACCCTCTTCTAAGAATGGGATGGGTAGACAACAAGGGGGGGGGGGGAAGAGAATGGAGTCTATTTGCCACGCCAGAATAACAATTTACATGGGAAACTAGAAACTGAGGCCCTAAGTGGCCGCAGTATGCTGTCAACTGAGAGAGGTTGGTAGCATCCAAGCTCTGAGGCCTCAGCAGGCTTTGGGGTGCCTAGCTGAGAGGATGTGGGTGATAACAGCCCTCTGTGTTCTCAATAGACGGGCTTTGAGGTATCAGCCCCCAGACTGTTAGCAAGCGTTATGGCTTGGAAGCTCTTAGAAGGCTTCAGAATGCCAGGCAGGAGCAGTTCCGTGCTTTCTATGGGTTTGTTCTTCACAGATCTGCTGCCCAAGGGGCAGCCAGAGTGGCAGATCTCAAGGCTGGGGCCACAGGTCTCTGGAACAGGTCTTGGAGGTTGGAAGCAGTTGCGGGGATGAATGAATTCCTTCCTGTAGCCAAAGTGCAGAGTCTTGGGGCCTGAGGCAGGAAAGAGGCCCTCCTGCCTGTAGTCCCTGGCCGAGTCCTGGAGGCTGCCTTGAAGGAGCCCCTCCTGAGGCAGGAGGAGGAGGGAGGGCAGGACAAGAAGCCAGTAGGTGACTGGAGAAACTCTCCACCGATTACTTCCAGTCTGGGGACAAGCCTGGGTGTTAGGGTTGTTTTCCTTACATGAAGAACCCAGGAGCCCTGTGAAGACATTTGCTGGGGGTTTGGGGGGCGGAGGCAGGGAGTACAGCAGGCTAAGGTCCTTCTTGTGCTGTTGAGCCCTGTCAACCCAGGCACCTACTCTGCATCCCTTCAGTGGATGTGCTAGGAATTTTGACACATTCCCACCCCAGTACCTCTCCTGCATCCCTTGGGCCACCCAGTACCTCTCCTGCATCCCTTAGGCCACGCTCCACAAGAAGGGAGGAACTGGCACCGTGGGTTATGGTCATGGTTAAGGCTCTTCTTGGCACCTACCCTCTAGCCCTGAGGCCACTCATGGTACAAGGGCCATGCTCTTCCTGTAGGGTCTGTGGAACTGATTCTCATGACCAGTGAAACCAAACCACTGTTTTCTTACTGCATTTCATCATCCATTCATCCATCTATCCATCTATCCATTTATCCATCCATCCATCCATCCATCCATCCATCCATCCATCCATCCATCATCTAGGAGTCAAGGTCTCATGTAGTCAAGGCCAGCTTCAAACTTGCTATATATAGCTAAGTCTGACCTTGAACTTCTGATTTTCTATCTTCCAAGTGCTGAGATTACAAGTGGATTCATTTTCACCTTTTTTTCAAAGGAATATTTTAGTAGTTCTTAGTTTCTAACAGTTCAGAACACAGCATGGCCCGTTCATAACACCATCAATGAGGCATGGAACCAAATGTGTAGTGTGTGCCTATGTGTAACACACCCTATGGATAACACACACCTGGACAATAGCACACATGCTCACACACAACAATGTGCACAAATAGACATTTGCATGCATAAAGATGCACAGACAGACTCACATACATAAATATACAGGCACATATAGACATGCACAAGACAGATCCAGACCCACAGACACTCATAGACATACAGAACACACACACAGCGATGCACACATCAGAGGCATGTACTGGTGATACAGCCCCCACATGTCTGCTGCGTCTCCGTGTAGACATATACTTTCCTGTCCTTTTCCCATCAATTGTCCTGGGATCCAGCCTTCTGGCGCCCTGAGGCAGGTCCAGAGCATTCCCCACTGATGCTGGCATAGACTGCTTAGCAGGCTGGTGCTGTGAAAGAAGGACTTGGAGGTCAGGACATGGTGCACAAATGTGCGGGGACAGGCGAGCTGATACGCCGATTAGTTTTGTGTCAACTGGACACAAACTAGAGTCATCTATGAAGAGGGAACATCAGTTGAGGAACTTCTACCACCAGATTGGCCTGGAGGCAAGTCTCTGGGGGCATTTTCTTGACTGATGATGGATGTGGGAGGGCATAGACTACAGTGGGTGGTACCACCCTGAGCAGTTGGTCCTGGGTTGCACATACCAAGCAAGCAAAGCAAGTCAGGGAGGAGCAAGCCAGTAAGCAGCACCCCTCCATGGCCTCTGCTTCAGTTCCGGCCTCCGGGTTCCTTCTTTGAGTTCTGGCTCTGATTTCCCTCCATAATAGACTCTACACTGTAAGCTGAAATAAAACCTTCCCTCCCAAGTTGCTTCTGGTCCTGGTGTTTTTATCATGGCAGTGGAAAGCAAACCAAGATCGGTTCTGTGGAAGAGGGCAGAGCTGTGAGCTGAGAGTGGGGGATGATGAACAGCCTTGGGTGTCAGAAAATCAGCCCACTCTGAACTCCATACATGCTCCCCGGCAGTGGTTCCAAACCTGTGGGACCAGACCAGCAGAAAACACAAATTTCCCATGCTCTTAGGAACCTCCAATGGTACGTTTATTTTTGTTGCTACTTCATAACTGTAAATTTGCTACTGAGTGGTGTCTCCGTTCCTAAGACCACTAGAAACAGGTGTTTTCTGATGGTCACAATCCACAGGCTGAGAATTGGAACTTCAAGGGAGGTCAAGGTGGAGACCAGCTTGGAAGAGAAAGGGGATGCTGGGGGTGGGGAGCTCCACCCCCTCCCCCGGCACTGGGCCAGCGACTGAGGAGGTCCTTTGGAGGTGCTGGTCCTACATGGTTTCAGGCACAGCTGTGAGAGGCTGTCATGTCTAGCATAAGCTGTATGCAGAAAGGATGTCACCAGAGTAATGGTCAGAGCCTAGACCCTGCCAGCCCTAACAGGATGGGCTCAGCCACCTGTCCTCATTGGCAATTAAAAAAATAAAAAAAGAGTTGCAGGGTCCTAAGTCCAAC